AAAAAAAAACACAGCCGGGTTGGTTAGATACTGAGTGGTCCATAATAGCCTAGCAAGTAAGAGAACGAGCCACAAGCTTATCACAAGTTTAAATATTTGAAACATCTAGGACGTATGTGACCTGGATTTTGACAGAAAAAACAAGTGGGAATAAACCTTTTCTTTGAATTGTGTTTCGTTGCTTCAACAGTTGCAACTGTTTGTGAGACAGAAGCTTGTTTAACAAAGTTGATTTTTCTGTTTTGATCTTCCTTTCGCTTTAGATCAACTTTGGGTAGCTGACTCCCTCCTATGCCTAGACGATTATAGTTTGGCTTGTTGTTGCTTAAGATTTCATCTAGATTACCTCTACCCAAGTTCAATTTTGCAATTGCTTCTTGAGTTTGAGTAAGTTTAGCCTGCAAACTATTTTTCTCTTGATCACTAGATATGACCCTTTCCTCAAGAGTAGAGATTCTTACCTTTAGTGTCTTGTTTTCCTCTACAAGCACAAACTTCTCCTTTTCCAGGAAGTTATTTACCTTAACGACGTCGAGCCATTTTTGGTACATTTTTTCATATACCTCCTTTACTTCATCCAAGGTTGGTTCTTCCTCATCACTGCTGCTGTTCGGATCCTCTGCAAAAGAAGAATTTTCGTTTAGATTTTTGTCATAATCAGAACACATATTTTCATACCTGGATTCTGTTTCACAGTCTGTTGCAACAGTTGAAGCAACAGTTGATTCTGAGCTGTCCAGAGGAACTTTGCTGCTGAATGCTACAAAGTTAGTGACTTGATTGTTGTTTCCTTGGTCATCATCAGATTCTTCTTCATCGCTCCAACCAGTAGTAAGTGACATTTTCTTCTTTTTCTTCATGGTGTTTGCGCATTCTGATTGAATGTGACCAAAGCCTTCGCATTCTCGACATTGTATTCTTCTTGGTTTTGACTCCTCTGAGTTATCTTGATTTGAATTTCTCCTAGAATTTTGAAAATTCACGGGTTTCCCTGTGCTTGGAAGATTTCCCCTTTTTTCGATCTTTTTGAGAAATTTCCCAAAATTTTTCGATAGTAGTGCCAATGATTCTTCAACTGTTTGCTCATCTTCTTGAGTTGACGAATTTTGGGGCGTTGCATATGATGTTTCTGCTTGAAAGGCTATCTTCTTTTCTCTAGACTTTTCACGATGATTTTCACCATGATTGAGTTCTTGTGCTAGAAGTTTCCCCATGAGTTCGTCTAGTTTGAGCGTGTCAACGTCTCTGACTTCTTCAATGGCAGCAATTCGGTAAGCGAATCTTTCAGGTAATGAGCGCATCGCTTTTCTCACTAATTTGCTTTCTGAGTATAGTTCACCGAGTGCGTATGATTCATTGGAGATATCACATAATTTAGCATGGAAGTCAGTGATCGTCTCATTCTCCTCCATCTTCAAATTTTCGAATTTGGTGGCCAACATCTGTAACTTGGATGTCCTTACAGTTGACGTTCCTTCGTATGTGACTTGAAGAATTTCCCAAGCTCTCTTTGCAGATTCACATGACGCTATTAGTTTAAATTGATTATCATCAACACCACTAAATATTGCGTTTAGGGCCCTCGAGTTGTAGTTTGCGAGTAGTATTTCTCCATCACTCCAATCTGCTTCTGGTTTGAATACTTCCTCTTTGTCTTCTCCTTTGATCATGGGAGGTGTCCAACCAGTTATGATGGCGCGCCATGCTCTCTCATCTATGGATTTGATAAACATCTTCATTTTTGATTTCCAGTATGAGTAGTTGGAGCCGATTAGAAGAGGTGGACGAATAGTTGAAGATCCTTCTCGTTGAGTATTCATATCTGCACAAAATAAGAGTAATCAGTTCCCAAAATCTCACTAGATATATTTAGTGACAGGCTCTTGATGCCAATTGTTAGAATTATTTTGTGCAAATTAATTATAAATTTGTGTCCGATAAATTCCAGATTCAGTTTTAGCTACTGTTCTACTGTTTTACGAAGAGTTGCAACAGTTAATGGAACAGTAATAAAAAGACACAAATTTTAAAGTGGTTCGGATACAATTGTACCCTACATCCACGGGGACCTGCAAATGAAATTCACTAATTTTTAGTTTTACGAATACAGTAATAGGACTTAATCGAAAATGCAAAGACTCCCTCTTTGTCGACGCCGTTCTTGTATCCTACGCTGAATTGTGAATCTTCACTTTGCAGCACGTCCCTTTCCGCACGGTTGAAATTCCTTCAACGCTGAGTCCCTCAGTCGGCGGATCGACCTCCTCCCGAGATCTTCTGAGTTCTCCTCCCGAAGAACCGATCTTCTTTTCGCGTGAAAGAAGCAAATCTTTTGCTGTGTTTTTCTTCTCGAATAAGATCACAACTCAGGAGCAGCAACGTAAGAGCAGAAAAAGTTTTTCTCTCAAATAAAAGGGACCACGTATAAAAACGTTGATGCTGCCCTTCTTATACTTCCTTAGGTGAATTAGTAGAGCCCTACAAAAATTAGAGCCCATTAGGTTAGAAATACTCTTCACGTAAGGAACAAGGAGTTATGTAAAACAAGGAAAGTCTTAGTCAATTAAATTCCTTGTTAATAAAACACTTAGGCAATTAAATAAATTAATGACAAAATAAGAGTTTAAAGAACTAAGGAAACTTCCCTAGTTTTTATACACGTTTTTCGCACACGTGTTGAAAAACCGAAATAGAATCCTCTCGGATTCTAACAGAAACAAAGAAAGGGATATATGCAAAATCGCACTTTAGTTGAAAAATAAAAGTTGCACTTTGTTTTCCAACTAAGGTTGCAACTTCATTAATATGAGTAAAGATCATGTATTTTATAATTAATATAGAGATTTAATATTTTTCAACTCTTGAAAAATAACAAGAGGTCAGTAACTTGGAATTTTACAACTCTTTTCATTATTTTCGTCTTTGCAAGGACTCAAAAAGGATATAATATTAAACTTGAATTCCAACGTAATAGTCTTGGAAATTTAAATGGATCAACATTGTTATGTGTTTGTTGGGTGATTATGCTTCTTGAGATATAGAATAATGTGCAAATCTTGTTCATTAATTTTTTTTTTCTAGATAAAGAAGGGACTATGCTTGTGTGTGTATTTATTTTTCACTTATGGTACTTAGTTTCATAAATATTTTCCAAATAAATTTGCAGGTGAGAGAATAAGAGCATAACAATTTTAGGCGAGAACTAAGAGAATTTTAACTAGGGAAGGTTGTTGCATAAGCACTTAACGAGCGTACAGAATTGTCGGTGGGTGAACTTCTGAGCACCATTGGTAGACTGCAAACTGAGCAACAAAAGCAAGTTCGAGAATTTAAGGTATGTGTATATGCATATCTTGGATGATTCTGTATTTGATAAATTGGAATTGTGATGAATTTTATTTTCCAGCACTAATATTGGAATTCTCCAATAATATAAGTTATTTTAATTGAAATTAGATCTTAATGTTTTTAATGGATTTTCTGGATACAAATCAGATTTTATATGGTCCTTTAGTGCTTGTGCCTTGTAACAATATTCAGGTTATTAAGATGTGAAATAGGCGTAGTCACGGTTTATGTGTTTCTGTTAGACGAACGATAATAAAAGTCTTATGTATAGGCAGGACTGGTGAAGTAATGAGACCATAACTAAATCGTTCTTGGTGATTCACCAAAGTAGATTAGCGTACAAGTAAATAAGACAAGACTAGTTATGCTGAAAAAGAACTGTATTAAGAGCTGAAATCATGCTCAACTATATGATGAAGGGGACTCGTGTTCAATCACTATAATTGTTAAGCCTGATAAATTGTAAGAAGGAGTGTGAATCTTTGACATGCCTCTTTCCCACAATAAAATTAATAATTAATCATCAGACGTTACCATACTTAAAGAAAGTCTGGTTTCCTTAGACTGTATGCAAATGAAGTATGTGTATTGGTGGAAATAATGTGTAATCGTATGGTTGAGTTTGTTGAAATGAAATTAAATTAGTTGTAGGGAAATGCATAATTCAAATTCATGCAGTGTCTTTCACTAAAATTTCTCATCCAGCAGTGGTGGAGCTAATTTATTTTTACAAACGTAGTCTAGTATTTTATAGAGAAATTTGTTGTTTTTCGAGTAGTCTAAACGACCCCTTGGAAAAAAAATATTCTATATTCGGCCCGAGTGAAGATAAAATCCTGGTTCCACCATTGCCAGCAAAGATACTAATTCTCTTTACATGATACAGACCTATAGAATCAAGAAAGCGAACTGTCTTCTTTATTTTAATATTTCTAATGAACAATAATAATAGAAGTTCTTCGCCAAATAATAATTGTCTTTCCCACTAAAACTACCTTTTTAGGTTCATTTGCACGTTAAGCGTGCCTTCATTCTAAGAAAATCCGAACTCGGACTTCTTAAATCTACACCATATGTTTTCGTAGTGTTGCACGAATCTTAAAAAATGCTAATATAGTAATGTCTATAGTTTTTCATGTTTCATTCTTTGATTTCTGATTCTTCTCTGTTTTTTTTAGCCTTGGAGCATAAAAGAAGATCAAGCTAAAGATGACAACAGGAAGAAGAGGAAATGCCAAGTGTCAGACAGTCCTCTTGGTCCTAAGAGCTTCTAGGCATAGGAACATGCAGCAAAAGGCTTAATTCGACAAGGGCAATTCCTTCTTTCAACCAAAGGCCCGTTACACGCAACAACTCAAAAAGTTTTATATGGCAAGCGCATAACTCCTTGGACGAATTCAAGAATCTGAAATTTATTCAATGTGGTTGAAATGGATGCCGAGGGCAGATTCAGCACTATAATTATTTCGTCGATCGTTCACATTCTCAGGTAATCAGGAAAAATGCATGTCGAAATTGATGGACAAATTAGCTTATTTATTGTGTGTGTATTATTGTATTAGCACATAAGAGCTTGTGCAATTATGGTGGAAAAGAAAGAACTTTAGTTAATGAAATGGCTATATTTTAAGAGCTTTGTGCAATTTTGGTTAAAGAAAACAGGTGAAATAGTTATAATGTGCCTTATAGTTTGGTGGATTATTATTTTATTACAGAGAGATACATCAGGGCTGAGTAACAAGAGCACAGAGCTCAAACTCCAGTTACGAGCCATGGAGCCGCAATTGTGTGACGGTTAGTACAATACATAACACCCAAAAAGTGGTCTTATTTTGATTATTTTTATTAATCTTCTTTAAATAGTACATTTATTATATATTCGTGCGTAAATATATAATTTGCAAATAGCAGGTTCAATTGATAAAAAGAAACAGGGAAGAGAAAGAAATGCTATCGATTGTATTGTTGCTGCATTTTACGGAGTTCTTGTCTGATTATAGTTAGGTTTACGACTGACCAGACTAGTTTACAATGTATGTATGTACTTTTATTCGACAAATCGTATTGTAAGGAAAAAATCTTTGGTAAATGTTATTTTTGTTATTTGTTGTTATATGTCTTGATTTATAGAGGAAATTTTGATTGAAATAGTATCTCTATATTTATAATATTGGATTTCTTTTATTGTTTAGTATTCAGGGCAAACATAAATAAATGTGTACAAATATGCTTCACAAAATGTAGTGAATGAGTGACAACATTCAAGTTGTCACTCTAGATTTATTTTATTAGTGACAACATTCAAGTTGTCACTCTAGGTTCATTTTATTAGTGACAACATTCAAGTTGTCACTCTTCTTCATTAAGTGACAACATAAATGTTGTCACCTTAACTAAAATCTAAAGTGACAATATTTTGTAAGTTATCACAAATAAGCATTAGCGACACAGAATTAGTGACAACGTAGTGACAACATTATATTGACACTAAATTTCATTTGTGACAATTTTATGATCTAATGTGACAACTTGCATTGTCACTAAAACTCGTTTTTCTTGTAGTGAAACTTTTGAGTTTTGGTGGCCGAATAACACCGATCAAGGTAGTTTTATTTAGTCTCCCAAGCCACACTTTGTCTTCAGCAGTGGTCCCGAATCAAATTTTGAATCAAATTGAAGCCTTATTTCGGAGTTTGCTGTGGGGTAAAAAGGAAGGTACTGTGATACATTGGATAAGTTGGGATAAAATTTGCAAGCCTAAATGTGAAGGAGGACTAGGGTTTCGTTCTCTGAAAGATACGAAATATATTTTGGCCTGCAAACTTGCATGGAAAATTTGGAAGGCAAATCATTGTGGCCAAGGTTCATTGATGCTAAATATGGTGCCTCACATATCCTGCCTCTTCATTCTACGTTGCTTTATCGGGAAGTTTGGCCTCATTTTAAAATCTTGGAGTTACATAGTCGATGGATCATTGGAAAAGGTCATATCAATTTTTGGAGAGACAAATGGCATGATGACGATATTATTAACGAAACCCGTACCCTCACTTTTTATGAAGCCAAGCAGCAAGAGCAAACATACAGGGACTTCCTCACGCCGGCGGCTCAATGTAAAAATTTTAGTTGATTTTTATTGATGAGGAACTTGAAGATCAGTTGGTTTTCACCCCATCTCCAACTGGACCGTTTACAATTGGTGCATACTCGGATAATATCCGTACAAATGGTGCTCATTATTTATTCCCATTCAAATTATGGCCCCCAAAAATCCCGATGCAAGTTGGTGCTTTCTTTTGGAAGCTCGCTTATGGGGCTATTCCTGTTTATATGGCGTTAAGAAAAAGGGGCTGCACCTCTTCATCAAAATGTCACTATTGTGCTTCGCCACAATTGGAAAGTCTTTCCCACCTTTTTGTTCTATTGGATGTCGCAATCGGTGGAAACACTACGCTGAAATCTGGAAAAAAACCTATTCAAATGGATCCATGCAATGGGTGAAGGGTCGATTAGCTCGCAAGAAGGCCTAATTTTGTTGGGAATTATTGTATTATTTATTTATTATTAGTTATAAGTTATTTATATTTAATATATATTTTGTATTTTTTTTGTTTAAATATATGTTTCGTTGTGAAAATTAGTATTAAGATAACCACTAATGTCTTGAATTATATAATTCAATGTGAAAAATTGCACTCATAATATTTAATAAAAGAAAAAAAAAACCGAAAAACCAGATTAGTACTGGAGGTGGGAAATTTTCATTTCCCCCCTCCTTTTTCTTTTACATTTTTATTTGCCTCTTCATTTCTTTCCCCTTTTCATTTTCCTCTTCTTTCCTTGTACTTTAAAATTTTTATTTTAACTGTATTTCTTTTTCTTATTCATTTTATATTCAGTATTTAAAACTAAAATATTTTATTTCCATAAAATTGAATAGTACATGTACATATGTTGTTAAATAAATAAAATAAAATGTTAGAAAGTTAAATATTGTTTAAATTAATATTAAAAAAATTAAGAGAATTGCTTTTTAATTTTAACTGTATTTCGTTTCTTATTTACTTTATATTAAGTATTTAAAATTATGATATTTTAATTCCATAAAATTGAATGGTACATGTAGAAATGTTGTTAATTAAACATAACAAAAAAATCGAAGTTAAATATTATTTTAAATTAATGTTAAAGAATTTTTTTTTCACTATTTCTTTCAGTACCTTGTAAAATATTTTTAATTGTTTTTTTTATGTTTGATAATCTATAAATGTCGAATAATCCCTTTTAAGTACTTTTTAATTTATTATTTTAAAAATAATAATTACAACATATTTATAATAAAATTTCAGTGGCGCACTTTAATAGAATAAAAATATTATAAATTTTTATAGTTTAATTTATAGAACTAAATTCACGAACAAGTTTTATTTCAAAAGGAAACAAAACTATTTCATATACTTCATGTTGGTACTAACTAGAGTAGGAAAATTGAAAACATATTATTTAAATTATAAATAGTTAATTTATTCTACTCATCATTTATAATTTTATTTTAAAGTAGAAAAAATAACTGAAATATGTTAAAATAAACCTCACATATATTTTTGTTATAAATATGTTATTCTCAATAATTGTCCTATAATAAAATAACCAACAATTTTTAAAAAGTTGTTATCAATAATTGAAGTTAATCGATTCAAATTAATTGAAATGAGTTATAATCTATTTTTTCTTAAATAAACATCTTATTTTGTTTTTCATTTGAATTTTTCACGCTATCGATTTTAATAACATAAGTGAGTTTCTATTAAATCATGCATTTCTTTATAGGTTGAATTGATTCAATTCTCTATATTTTTTAATAGTGGAGATTATATTGAATATATTAATTAATAATCGATGTTAAGAAGTATTGAACCGTGATTCTTTATATTTTGCAAAATTTAATAGATTACATTTGTTCATATTTAATTAAAATTATTTAATAATAATGAATATGAAAATTAATAATATATTTAATATTATTTATATCGATTAAATCATTTTACACTGAAATATTATATTATATATACTTATTGTTAGGCATTGAATAGATATTTTCTTTGACCTAGTGGTTGGTACTACCATTTCCTTGTTTCAGCCCAAGTTTGACCCTTAGTTGAAGCATTTTTGGTCAAATACCGACCAATTTAATATGGGTCTCTAGGTTGGGTCCTTGGGCCGGGTCAAACAGGTTGACCAGTCGATATGGGGCCGGGTTAACGGTCAGCGGAGCGGTCGTCGGGTCTGGGCCAGATCCGATGCGCTCCCTTTAAAATTTGTAAAAAAAGATACTAAAGATAATAAAGACATTTCAATAAACATTATTACTTTTTTTTTTAATTATAGAATCTAAAATAATAAGGACATTTATGTCAATACATAATAAAACTTAAAATATTCATTTGTTTTTGGACACGTGGCGGCCAATGAGACCCTAACTGACCTCAAGTAGAATTTTGGTATCGGACGCTAGAAAGACCCTACTTTCATAGACGTGTTAGTATTCAATTCAAAGATTTAACAATCTACGAGAATTTAATTCAAAATCGATAATATTCAACCCGTATTATTATCATTTCCTATAAATAAATTTGAAATTCAAATTAGACAACTGTAATCGATGAAAAAATTTATCATTACTGCAGTCCCGTTTGCTCTATAACGTATACTTTCATAGACATGTTAGTATTCAATTTGAATTTTTAACAACCTACGAGAATTTAATTCAATATCCAACCCGTATTACTCTCATTTCCTATATAATTAAATTTGAAATTCAAATTAGACAACTGTAAATCGATGAAAAAATTATCATTACTGCAGTCCCGTTTGCTCTATAACGTATACTTTCATAGACGTGTTAGCATTCAATTCGAAGTTTTAACAATATAATCTACGAGAATTTAATTCAAAATGGATAATATCCAACCCGTATTACTATCATTTCCTATAAATAGATTTGAAATTCAAATTTGACAACTGTAATCGATGAAAAAATTTATCATTGCCGTAGTCCCGTTTGCTCTATAACATATACTTTCATAGACGTGTTAGTATTCAATTTGAAGTTTTAACAATCTACGAGAAGTTAATTCAATATCCAATCCGTATTACTCTCATTTCCTATATAATTAAATTCTAAATTCCAATTAGACTACTGTAATCGATGAAAATTTTATCATTACTGCAGTCCTGTTTGCTCTATAACGTATACTTTCATAGACATGTTAGTATTCAATTCGAAGTTTTAACAATATAATCTACGAGAATTTAATTCAAAATCGATAATATCCAACCCGTATTTCTATCATTTCCTACATATGACTATAATATTGATAACATTTTGACTAAAAATGTATTATTTTCTTTCAAAAATTTGGAATTTTAATTTAACTTCGAAGCGAAAACTTTTATTTTTATCCTATTATTTTTTTTATCACTATTAATTTATTATGAAATGAATATACCGAGAGGGGAAAAAAGAAAGAAGAGAAAATGTAAATTACTAGCTCTTTATTTGTAGCCCAAACACATAAATAATATATTCATATAAATAAATATTTATAATACAGTTATGCAGATTGTTCTTTAATTTAAAAAGTTGTTTTTTTTTACATGAAATTTCAAAAGACTTTAATTTAATTATTCCACGTGTAAAATGATTTTCTAAACCCTAAAAAAGGCTAATAATATCTAAAAGGGCATTATTGAAATATCCTGTAAAAATCATCCCTATAAAACACACACACTCATACAGAAAGAGTGACCAAGACTGAAAAAAAAATATCACAAGGACAACTCTATTGCAAAAAACTTCCCATTTTGCTTATTCTGCAATTTGCTTAGAGAGATTAATTCTTTTAATCAGTTTACCAACACCCACTTGAACACGCATTAGCATGTGTTCTTGTTATAGAATTAGTTATTAATTTTGCATGCTTCTTTAAATGTTTTATGAGTGCTAAATCTTGTATTTGTTTCCTTTTTCTTTTTGTTATCATTAACAAAAGGTTTGTTTTTGATGTTTGTAAGACCGACAAATGGAAGATCTATGCGTCGACAACACCATTCCGCATCATGCGACGTCGGTCGCCGCCGCAGAACATTCAAAGGTGGTGGAGGTTGCCGTGGAGGAAGAGACGTTGGAGAAGGCTGGCGGCGATAAAACGGGTAAATCTACCACTTAGGGCTCCAAAATATAATAGGGACATATATCGTAATTTGTATAATTTTGGAAGGGTGTTTTAGTAATTTTCTATAAATTAAACATATGAATTAGTAGGATTATGTAGAAAAAAATAGTTGTACAGGTGATAATTGCTCTTAAATTAGCGTTTTCGTCATTTCGATATCTACATTTATAACAAGAATTTCTTTGATTTTAATATTTTGCTAATAATATTTTTCAAATATTTTGACTGAAAAGTAACAGTAATTAATATTTGGTTTTGAATCGTTTTCGATTCTTTCGCTGTTATGGAGGAATCGAAAACGATTTGCCAAAAAAAAAACAGTGAAAATGATCGATTTACTAATTAATACTAATTGTTTTTTTTTTTTTTGTTTTTTTTTTGCATGCTTCTATAAATGTTTTATGAGTGTTAAATCTTGAAAACTTGTTCCCTTTTCTATTTGTTATCATTAAAAAAATGTTTATTTTTGATGTTTTTAAGACCTAAAAATTGAAAATCTATGCGTCGAAAACACCATTCCGCATCATGCGACGTTTGACGCCATCGCAGAATATGAAGAGATGGTGGAGGTTGCCCCAAATGAAGAGATGGCGGAGAGTGTTGGCGGCGATAACACAGGTAAATCTAACGCTTAATTAGGGTTTCGAATGTAATGGGACATACATTATAATTTAATTACGATTTGCCAGGGCATTTTAGTAATTTTAAGAATAAATTAATATCTATTAATAAGTATAATTAAAGTCGGAAAAAATAGGCTTATACGAGTAATAATTGCTCTTATAAATTAGCGTTTATCCGTCGTTTCGATACCTGCATTTATTACGAGAATTTCTTAGATTTTAATATTTTACTATCTATTATTTTATATTTTGAAATTTGAAATAATACTAATCATTTAGTATTTTTGAAATTTATAATAATGTACATGAGTGGTAGTTAATTTTGAAACAATATTTATAATATTTTGAAACAATACTAATCTTTCAATTAATCATTTAGGCCACAAAATAGTTGAAGACACTACTATTGGCAATGATCATGGAGTGGCTGCGAAGAGCTTTTCGGAACGCGGCGGAGAAAGCGAAGATGCGGTTTGCAGCAAGAGAAAGAGAGGGCGGCCGAGGAAGCAGTCGGTGGGGGGCCGACAACAATTTGCGGAGATACCGCCGGAATATTATATCTCTGCACCGAAGTCGAGAAGAGGCCACCCTAAGGGATCCACGAAAAACACTTGGCTGCCTCATTAGGTAAATTTTGTTTATTTTTTCTTGATTATATTTAGTTGTTTACAACAAAAATATTGCAATTAATTTTATTTATTTTATATATATATATATATATATATATATATATATATATATATTGGCAAGGTAAAATCAATTTAGTTCTTCAGGGTGGAACATTCGTGCAATTCTAGTGCATCTAAAATACCATTGTTCAATATATATACATTTTTTTATGAAATCAATTTTACTTATTAATTATCAATTTTTTTTACTGCAAATAAATAAATAATCGACAAACTTTTTATTCAATATATTTATTGTTAACCGGGGCAATATTTCTCGTAATATTGAAGGTGAAATTGTTGGGGAGACGGTGGAAAGAAACTTCACTTTCCACACCATTACAATTGAACAAGGAGAGGTATACAAATATAATACATATGTATATCAATCGATTCGTTTGTTCTTCGACTTACAAGATTAATCGTTATAACTAAAAGTTATATATTAATTGTTTATCTTTCGTTGTTTGATCGACCAGGACATAGTGCAAAGAATTAGGTCATTTTCTGAGATGACTCCCGATTCAATTTGCATTATCTCGGCTTCGGGTACAGTCTCTATTGCTGAAGTTTACGTGCCTAATCCTTGCCGTGACATTTTCCGATACGAGGTATATATGATCTCTATATTTTGTTCATACTTGTAATTGTTTCCGTAATTAATTAATTTGATCTCGCGTATTGGTGGTGCAGGGGGAGTTGACTATAATACACTTAAATAGATCGCATACATATGATGGAATAAGAGGTGCTAAAAAGTGCCTATTAAGTGTACTTCTGGCCGATTCCGAAGGCCGATGCTACGGTGGTGCTGTAGCCGGTTCACTTATTGCTGCCGGCCCAACTCGGGTAACCCAACTTCTAAATATTTTATTTTTAATTTTCTTGTGCAAAGATTGTGCTTAGCTTGTATATATTGTATGCATTTAAACACACACAATAAATGCACATGCATTTGTACAAGTGTGCGCACAATTCACACAAATTTTTTTTTTCCCCTCATTTTAACCAATAAAAAAAAGAATAATAATAATCATGAATATACTTTTGAAATTATGTTTAGTTCCTTCAAGTTTAATTTCTTTATTTTTTTAAGTTTATGAATTCAACACATTAAATTCAATTTTTATTCCCAGGTTATAATCGGAACATTTATTCAAATTTTGAGGCATCGAAAGCGTAGAACTGCAGCCCCAGAAAATCAGCCACTCGCAGCTCCGTTTTCCCGATCCGCCGATAATTGATGGTCCGAGTGAAGATTAGAGAACTTCACAAAATTTGAAGCTAAAAGAAAAACATTTTTATTTCTATTTTCTTGAATTAATGTTTAATTACTTGACATTATGTTTGTTTTTAGGGGCTTGATTGCTCATTTGTTGTATCATTTATGTTGTTGTTTTTTTATAAATATTTTACTTTGTTATAATGTTCCATTTATTTAGCGAAATCCCATTGGCAAGAACTCTTCGGAAATTTGGATGAGGAGGAATAGAAGTTTCTAGGCTTGCGAAATTCTTTTATCTTCTTTAAGGTAATTTGTCTGCCGTTGGTATAAGTTCTCAACTAATTATTCGAAAAATAAAAATAAAAATACTTCCCCAATTGGTCGGGATGGAAAATGGTATACAAATTCTTGTACTGTTGACCCCGTATTTTTTTTTTCGTCGAGAATTAGCGTTTTAATTTGTGAAAAATACATGACATGTTATTGCGACATGTAATGCATTTTTTGTCACTATAAACTTCAAGTATTAATTTAATTTATATGTATAAATAAATATGTATACAATATGTATGGACACCATTTATTTAGTTTCTTTCACGTGATTGATTATATTTATAATTTATCCCATGTTGTTAATAAAAAAAAATTGAATATTATAATCGACGATAGAGCAAGATTTTCAGAAGAAGAAAAAAATCGAACCAAAAACCCAAAAAAAGAAAATCAACTAAAAACGCTATACGTTGCGAAGGAGCTAGATTTTCAAAATTCAATGTAAATAAATTTGAAATTCAGATTAGACAACTGTAATCGATGAAAAATTATCATTACTGTAGTTTCGTTTGCTCTATAACGCATACTTTCATAGACGCGTTAGTATTCAATTCGAAGTTTCAACAATCTACGAGAATTTAATTCAAAATCGATAATATCCAACCCGTATTACTATCATTTCCTATAAATAAATTTGAAATTCAAATTAGACAACTGTAATCGATGATTTATCATTACTGCAGTCCCGTTTGCTCTATAACGTATACTTTCATTGATGTGTTAGTATTCAATTCAAAGTTTTAACAATCTACGAGAATTTAATTCACAATCGATAATAACCAACCCTTATTACTATCATTTCCTACATTTGACTATAATATCGATAACATTTTGACTAAAAAATGTATTATTTTTTTTTCAAAAATTAGGAATTTTAATTTAACTTCCAAGCGATAAACTTTTTTTTTTCCTATTATTTTTTTTTATTATTATTATTAATTTATTATGAAATGAATATACCGAAAGGGGAAAAAAGAAAGAAGAGAAAATGTAAATTACTAGCTCTTTATTTGTAGCACAAACACATAAATAATATATTCCTATAAATAAATATTTATACGCAGCTATGCAAATTTTCTTTAATTTAAAAAAAATGCTTTTTTTATTTGTTGAAATTTCAAAAGACTTTAATTTAATTATTCCATGTGTAAAATAATTTTCAAAACCCTAAAAAAAAGGAAAATAATATCTAAAAGGGCATTATTGGAATTTCGTGTAAAAATATTCCCTATAAAACACACACACACTCATATAGAAAGAGTGACCAGGACTGAAAAAAAAAATATCATAAGGACTACTCTAAAAACTGCAAAAAAATCTTCCCATTTTGCTTATTCTGCAATTTGCATAGAGAGATTAGTTCTTTCAATCAGTTTACCAACACACGCTTGAACACACATTAGTATGTGTTCTTGTTATATAATTAGTTATTAATTTTACATGCTTCTTTAAATGTTTTATGAGTGCTAAATCTTGTATTTGTTTCCTTTTTCTATTTGTTATCATTAACAAAATGTTTGTTTTTGATGTTTTAAGGCCAACAAATGGAAGATCTATCCGTCGAGAACACCATTCCGCATCATGCGACGTCGATCGACGCCGCAGAACCTACAAAGGTGGTGGAGGTTGTTGTAGAGGAAGAGACGTTGGAGAAGGCTGACGGCTATAAAACAGGTAAATCTACCGCTTAGGGCTCCAAACTATAATGGGGATATATCGTAATTTCTATAATTTTGGAAGGGTGTTTTAGTAATTTTAAATAAATTAAACCTATGAATTAGCAGGATCATGTAGAAAAAAATAGTTGTACAGGTGATAATTGCTCTTTTAAATTATCGTTTTCGTCATTTCGATATCTGCATTTATAACAAGAATTTCTTAGATTTTAATATTTTGCTAATAATATTTTTCAAAGATTTGGACTGAAAACTAATACTAATTAATATTTGGTTTTGACTCTAAAAAAATATTTGGTTTTGATTTTCGATTCTTTCGCTGTTATGGAGGAATCGAAAACGATTTGCAAAAAAAAAAAAAAAAAAACAACAGTGAAAATGATCGATTTACTAATTAATACTAATTGTTTTTTTTTTTCATACTTCTATAAATGTTTTATGAGTGTTAAATCTTGAAAACTTGTTCCCTTTTCTATTTGTCATCATTAACAAAATGTTCATTTTTGATGTTTTTAAGATCTAAAAATGGAAGATCTATTCGTCGAAAACACCATTCCGCATCATGCGACGTTTGACGTCGTCGCAGAACATGAAGAGATGGTGGAGGTCGCCCCCGTTGTCGCAAAGGAAGAGACGGCGGAGAATGTTGGCGGCGATAACACAGGTAATTAAATCTAACGCTTAATTAGGGTTTCGAATGTAATGGGGACATACATTATAATTTTACGATTTTGCAAGGGCATTTTAGTAATTTTAAGAATAAATTAATACCTATTAATAAGTAGAATTAACGTCGAAAAAATAGGGATAAAAGAAATAATTACTCTTTCAAATTAGCGTTTATCCATCGTTCTGATACCTGCATTTATTACGAGAATTTCTTAGAATTTAATATTTTACCAACTATTATTTTTCATATTTTGAAACAATAGTAATCATTTATTTATAACAATGTACATGAGTGGTAGTTAATTTTGAAAAAAATATTTATAATATTTTGAAACAATACTAATCTTTCAACTAATCATTTGGGCCAAAAATAGTTGAAGACACGCTTATTGGCAATGATCACGGAGTGGCGGCGAGCTTCTCAGAAGGCGGCGGTGGAAGCGAATATGCGGTTTGTAGCAAGAGAAAGAGAGGGCGGCCGAGGAAGCAGTCGGTGGGGGGCCGACAACAATTTGTGGAGATGCTGCCGGAATATTATATCTCTGCACCAAAGCCGAGAAGAGGCCGCCCTAAGGGATCCACAAAAAACTTGGCTGCCTCTTTAGGTAAATTTTGTTTTGTTTTTTCTTGATTATTTAGATGTTTATATAAAAATATTGCAACATGCATGCATTTGTGAATCTGCCGTTGCATTAATTTTATTTATCAATTTTTTTATTATATACATATATTTATAATTCATATATATTGGCATATGGTAAAATCAATTTAGTTCTTCTAGTGTGCGGTATCCGTGCAATTCTTGTGCATCTAACAATACTCCCATTGTTCAATATGTATATATACATCTTATATATAAAAGAAAGAAACACTGGGCAACCCTAAAAAACCCTAATGGTATTTCTGTAATTATTTATTTTTAATATTTTTTCTCTACTAATTTCTAACTATAATTTTTAACAATTATCAAAATTAAAACTAATTTGTGAAGAATCCTACCTTATTGGTACTTATGTAATTATTTATTTTTAATATTTTTTCTCTACTAATTTTTTAACTATAATTTTCATCAATTATTAATCTCCTATTTTTCATCAATACATCTCAAATCTTAAGAGATAAAGCTAGAAGTTCGATTTGTTAAATCTTAGTCTATTTATTTGGATTATAAATCTTAATATGTAAGATTTAAAAAATTAATGTTATATAAAATATGAATAATACTATATTATTAAATTTTACTATATTAGTATACTATATTTTCTTATCATGTATTAAATTGATTATTTTTTTTTCACTACTTAAATAATATTCCGTGCATCGCACGGGGGAAAAATACTAGTTTTCTTAATGAAATCACTTTTCCTTATTAATTATCGAATTTTTTTATTGCAAATAAATAAAAAATTGACAAACTTTTTATTCCATATATATATTTATTGTTAACCGGGGCAATATTTCTCGTAATATTGAAGGTGGAATTGTTGGGAAGACGGCGGGAAGAAACTTCACTTTCCACACCATTACAATTGAACAAGGCGAGGTATATATATATATATATATATCAATCGATTTGTTTGCTCTTTGACGCACAAGATTAATCGTTATAACTAAAAGTTATATATTAATTGTTTATCTCTCGTTGTTTGATCGACCAGGACATAGTGCAAAGAATTATGTCATTTTCAAAGATGACACCCGATTCAATTTGCATTACCTCAGCTTCGGGTACAGTATCTATTGCTGAAGTTTACGTGCCTAATCCTCGCCGTGACATTTTCCGATACGAGGTATATATATATATATATATATATATATATATATATATATATATATATATATATATATATATATATATATATATATATATATATATATATATATATATATATATATATATATATATATATATATATATATATATATATATATATATATATATATATATATATATATATATATATATATATATATATATATATATATATATATATATATATATATGGGCTGTAGCCGGCTCACTTATTAGTGTATATATATGTGTATATGCGAATTCTCAATATTTTAATTTTCAGGTGGAGCTATATCCCGCTCTTGTATATGTCTGTATATATGGTCTCGGGTCAACCCGAATTCTCTAAACGCACATGCATGTGTATATGCAAGTGTGCATATCTTGTATATGTGTGTATATATTGTATGTACCCAAAACACACACAACACACGCACGTGTGTGTGTATGAGTGTGCGCACAATTCACACAAAAGGGCGTTCCCCTCTTTTTACCCACCAAAAAAAGAGAATTAATACTATACGCGTGTATATTCTTTTGAAAATATAT